TTATTAGAGCATAAGCTTATGCTCTAATAAATTTGTTAGTCTCTAAGGTGCCACAAGTACTCCTGTTCTTCTTTTTTCAAAGAAATATTGACATTCTTAATGTAAAAATCTGTGCAAGTCTTTGCAGGAAAAGGCTCTTTGCTAAACAGGTAATGGACGGAGGAACATAATACTTTGAACCCTCTTAAAGGGCTTTGTTCTCCCATCACTCCATGGCTTTGAAATTTGCCATTTGAAAAGTGCCTGGTGCTGCCAGCTCTACAGGGATGAATATTATCCAGAGTGATTTTTAAACAAGGAAGGAGGAACAAGGAGAGCCAGAAGACGGATATTGTCATGCATCATAATTTATAATGCAAATGAAATTTGAAGTACATAGTTACCAAAAGAAATAATATGGAGCAGAAAGAATGTATTTCCAGTGTTTTCAAAAGGTCTGCAAACGATCTCCTGCTTCGTTGGGATGCATTTCAGACAAGAAGTTCTTTTTCCTTTCTTGCAACTGCAGAGTTGGCCAAACAAATCCCCTTTTCAACCATTTCAAGTGACTTGTTTAACCCCAGTTAATGGGAAATGAGACAAAGCAAAGTAGAAGTGGAGGACTACGCTGCTTCTCTGTCATACATCTGCCACGGCAAAGTTCAAAGTGAGATGCTAAAGGTATGTATTGATTGAAAGGATAGACACACAGGGCCTAATTCTCCTTGACAGCAAGTACGCTTTCTCCCCTGCAAAGGGATTTAAAATGATAATAAATGTAACTGATGCCTCTGTTAAGGCCCTGTTTCCTTCACACTGCGGGGCTAGTGCAAACAGCCTAAGTGTAATTCAGAATGAGTCCACGTGTGACTAGGAGAATAAGCGCATGGTTGGGAAAGCATTGGCAGAAAGAGTCATAAAGCGTAACATTAGAAATATGTCTATGAGACAAAGGTCCTGAGCAGACACAGCTCGAACTGAGTTCAACCGGAGCCATGCTGGCACAGCACTTCTGAAATCCATGCTCAAAAGGTCATCTGTGAGTCGGTAGCTTGCTGTTCATTTCCTTGTCTTTTCTTTTCCAACTGATATTCCTGCTGGGTTTTATATAGTGCACAGCTTCCACTGAGGTACCTATGGCAAGATACCCTGGAACTGCATATTTCCCCGTAATCAGAACGCCCCGGGAAATTGCATAATCCCCCATAACTGTAACCTCCCCCATAACCACACAATCTTCTATAACAGTAATGGCCCCCATAACCACCTAATCCCCTGCAACCATACAGTCCTCTGTAACGGCCTCCATAGCCGTACAGTCCCCCCAAACCAAATGAGCCCCCGTAGCCGGCTCTGACACAGGTGCTTCTACGGCTCCCACGCCACTCTGCTGAAGGAAAGTGCTGAGAATTGGTTCTGGGAGGGTCACAATAACACGGCTCGTTGCAGCTACTAGTAACTGGACTGGGCCGGGCCACGCCTCATTATGGGTGGCACAGGCTGGAGGAAGACATCTTTCTGTGGTGGAAGTAAACCAGAAACACACAACAGGGAATAAAGAGAAGGTACGAGTGTCAGTGGAAGAAAGGCTTCAAAGCTCGGTTACTATTGCAATGAGGTCTACGTGGGGTCCAAGAGAGAGAGGAGTAGTGGATTTATTCCCTAAGTTCATGGCTATATATATGTTCCTATTTCCTCTTTCTATGCCTCTTACCCATTTGCACTGAACTTCTCTTCCAATTGGCCCCTTTGAATCTTTCTCTGTTACTTTATTTGAAAAACACCAACTGGAATAAGTGTAACCATTTCCATGATGGACAGCTGGGATTCTGTGTCCATTTAAGACATTTCTCAAAGTGAACATGGCTGGGATAATGCTGATCATTTCCTTTCCTTTGAGGATTTAATCTCTGCATGGCAAACCAGTTCTGTCCGGTATCAGAGTGTGGCTCTTTGGTTTTCCAATACTTGCTGATGAATGAACAGAAACGTTTGTTTTCTCCAAATAAATCAATAAGGACTAGATCCTCATCTGGGGTTAAGTGGTTCAGGTCCACTGCCTTCCATGGAGCGACACTAAATTACACTATCTGAGGAGAAGCATCTTCAGTGGGTATTTCTGCTCATAAGAATGTAGGAATTGCTTGACTGGATCACACCAGTTGTCAGCGTAATCCATTCTCCTTGTCTTTCAACCAGTTGTATATCTTATAGTAAAGTCATCTAGATGACATCTCCCTAGTTTGCTTATGAGACTTTCATGTGGGACTGTGTTGAAAGCCTTACCAAAATCAAGATGTATTATGTGTATTGCTTCTCCCCTATCCACTAGACCAACAGCTGCCATATCTGGAACAGTCTTCCAAGGGGAGTAGTGGGGGCAAAATACATATCTGGCTTCAAGACTAAGCTTGATAAATTTATGGAGGGGATGGTCAGATGGGATAGCCTAATTTTGGCAATTAATCGATCCTTGATTATTAGCAGGTAAATATGCCCAATGGTCTGTGATGGGATGTTAGATGGGGTGGGATCTGAGTTACTACAGAGAATTCTTTCCTGGGTGCTGGCTGGTGAGTCTTGCCCACAT